CCTCAGAAATGGGAGAGCACCTCATAAATGTACAGGCCAGGGCTGGGGATTTAGTTCAGTGGTTCCACCGCCTGCCTCGCAAGTGCAAGGTCCCAAGTTCAATCCCGGTTTAAAAAAAAAAGCAGACAACAAATGTACAAGCCATTTGGCTAGGAGGAGAAAACTGGGAATTGCTGGACTTCAAAATTGGATTTCAGAAGACCATTCATTCTAGAGAAATAAAGCACTTCAAGAAATTCAGGACCACAAAACCAGGACAACAAAATATTCTCAAGGATATCCTAGAAATAAACAATGAAACCAATAATGCCAAAAAATGTAATAGAATGAATACACCAGTCGGGTGAGCTATTAAGCCAAAATGAGGCAGGCAGGAGGTGGGAAATCAGCATCAGGAAAATGATTCAATGACAAGAATAAGTCAATAACTTTTATTAATAACTCTCAATGTAAGCAATCTCAATTTTTCAATCAAAAAACACAGATTGGCAAGAGAAAACCCAATGATACAAGAAACAAATTTTGGGGGATGGGGTTTTGAGGCAGGGGCTCCCTTTGTAGCCCAGCCTGGCCTTGAACTCTCAGCAATCCTCCTGCCTCAGCCTCCCAAGAGCTGGGATTATAGGTATGCACCACCCTGCCCAGCTTACATGAAATAAATTTAACCTCAAAAGAAATACACCGATTAAAAGTCAAAGGATAGAAAACAACATTCTATGCAACAGGAACCCATAAAAAATCAGGAGTAGCTATCCTAATTTTAGGTAAGGTAGACTTAAAGGCAAAACTAATTAGAAGAGGCAAAGAATTTTGATTAAGAATATTGATTAAGGGAACAATTCAACAGGAAAAAAATAACAATTATAAATATATATATATATCAAATACTGGCATACCCAACTTCATAAAAAAAAAACACTACACAACATTAAAAAAATCAGATAAATACTACCACAATTATAATAGGGCACCTCAAACCCCTACTTCCCAGACAGATCAACTAGGCAAAAAAAAATCAACATTGAAATATCAGAGTTGAACCAAGCCTTTGAACAAATGGACTTAATAGATATCTACAGAGTGTTACATCCAACAACAACAGAATATACATTCTTCTCTGCAGCACATGGGACTTCCTTCAAAATAGACCACATGCTAGCCCATACATCATGCTTAAGTAAGTGCAAAATAATTAAATTTATCATATGTATATTATCACATCATAGCACAATTAAACTAGAAATCAAGAATAAAAGAAAACAGAACATGCAAACACATGGAAATTAAACAATACACTAATAAATAATCAGTGAGTCACAGAAGAAATCAAGGAAGAAATTAGTTCCTAGAATCAAATGATAATGCCAGTACAACATATCAAAACCTATAGGAAACAATGAACACAGAGGGAAGTTTATATCTGTGAATGCCTATATATTAAAAAAAAAAAGAGTAAGCCCAGATAAATAAACTAATCATGCACTCAAATTCCTATAAAAACAAGAACAATCAAAATAAAGACCAGAGCAGAAATCAATGAAATTCAAACTCAAAAAATAATACAATGAATAAATGAATCAAACAGCTAGTTCTTTGAAAGAATACACAGAATAGACAAACCACTAGCCAATCTTACCAAGAAAAAAGAAAAGATCCAAATCAATGCAATTAGAAATATAAAAGGCAAAATCATAACAAATTGCTGAAATACAGAAGATTATTAGTAACTACTTTGAGAAACTGTAATAGAATTCAGAAGAAACCAATAGATTCCTAGATACCTATGAACTACCTAAAGTGAGCCAAGTAGACATAAAAACCCCAAATAATCCAATACCAGGCAATGAAATTGAAGAATTAAAAAAAAACTACCAAGAGTCAGAGATTTAGTTCAGTGGCACTGAACCTGCCTTGCAAGCACAAGGTCCCAAGTTTGATCCCTGGTACCAGGAAAAAAAAAGCCTAGGTCTTGATGGATTCACTTCTGAATTGTACAAGAATTATAAGGAAGACCCAATACCAATACTCCTCAAACTCTTTAATGAAATTAAAAAGAAAAGTGTATTCCAGTCATTCCTGGAAGCCAATATTACTCTGGTTCCAAAATCAGAAAAAAAAAATTCAAAGAAAAGGAGAATTATAGGCCAATCTCCCCCACCCCCTCTCTCTCTCTCTTTCCACTTTTCTTTTTTGGTACCAGGAATCAAACCCAGGGCCTCACACTTGCTGGGCAGAAACTGCACCACTGAGCTACATCCCTGGCCTGGTCAATCTCTTTAATAGATATAAGATGGAAAATCTTCAGTGAGATACTGGCAAATAGAATGTAACAAATCATCAAAAAGATGACCAAGTATGATACATTCCAGGAATGCAGGAATGGTTCAACATATGCAAATCAATAAGTATAATACATCACATAAAAAAGCAAAGCCAAAAATCATGACTGTCTCAACTGATGCAGAAAAAGCCTTTAACAAAATCCAACATCCATTCATGACAAAACCCTGAAGAATATAGGTATATAAGGATGTTACCTCAATCTGATAAAAGCCATTTAGGACAAACCAATGGTTAACATCATATTAAATGGGAAAGAAGCTAAAAACTTTCCCTTTAACGTCAGACACAAGATAATGATATTCACTACCACCACTACTGTTCAATATAGTTCTTAAAACATTAGCCACAGCAATAAGGCAAGAGAAAGAAATTAAAAGGATATGAATAGAAAAGGTAGAAGTCAAATTATCACCATTTGCATATGAAATGATCTTCTAAATAGATCATTAAACAGAAGACCAAACAATGTCTCCAAAAGTCTCCTAGAATTAATAGCATAGCAGGATAAATGTAAATTCAGTAGCATAGCAGGATAAAATTCAACACACAAAAATCAATAGCATTCCTTTACACTAATAATAATCAACTCAGTGAGAAAACAATTGGGGAAACAACACCTTTCACAATAGCATTAAAAAAATAAATAAATACGGGCCAGGGATTTAGCTCAGCAGTTCGGTGTCCTGCCTTGCAAGCACAAGGACTCAAGTTCGATCCCCAATACCAAACAAACAAATAAACACCTAGGGATGAACCTAACCAAGGAAATAAAAGACCTCTACAAGGAAAAAACAGTAATCTGACATCAGAAAAGATGGAAAGATATATTGTGTTCCTAGATAGGAAGAACAAATATGGCCAAAATGGCCACACTTCCAAAACTGATAAATTTAATGCAATCCCAATCAAAATACCAGTAGAATTCCTCACAGAACTAGAGAAAACAATCCTAAAATTCATTAAAAATCCAGAAAAGACCCAGAATAGTCCTCGCAACAAGAACAAGGCAGGAAGAATCACAATTCTGGACTTCAAGTTATACTACAAATCTACAGTGATATAAACAGCATGGTGTTAGCCCAAAAAAAGACAGACATGCGGATAATATGAAATAAAATAGAGGATGCAGAAACACTCCAGGCACACTTAGCTACCTGGTCTTTCACAAAGGAGTTGAAAGCTTACACTGAAGGAATGACAGCCTGTTTAACAAATGGTACTGGGAAAACTGGCTATCCATATCCAGAAGACTGAAGCTAAACCAAAATCTCTTAGCACTTATGAAGCTAAAGACAAAACGGATCAAAGGATTGTAAAACAGAAACAATCTGCTAGAAAGTAAAACAGACACAACTCTCTCTTTTCCAGTTTTTTGAGACAGGGTCTCTTGCTAGGTAGTTCAGACTGGCCTTGGAGTCACTACATAGCCCAGGCTGGCTTCAAACTCCCAGCAACCCTCTTGTCTCAGGCTCTTGAGTGCTGCGATTACAGGTGTGCACCCCACATCACGCTCCAAAATAGACGCAACTCTGGGAGACACAGGCATAGGCAAGAATTTTCTGAACAGGACCCCAATCACAAGTGATAACACCTAGAATCAACAAATGGGATCATTTCAAATTAAAAAGCTTCTGCACAGTAAAGAAAGTAGAGTGAAGAGACAACAGAATAGGAAAACAATTTCACCATCCATTCTTCAGACAGAGGATTAATATCTAAAATATATAAAGAGGATATGTCATGTGCAGACACAAATTCCCTACAATGAATGTTATCATTGTGTATGTCTAAAATGTGCCAATAGTGCTGGGCATGGTGGCACACGCCTGTAATCCCAGCACTCGGGAGGCTGAGGCAGGAAGAATGCTGTGAGTTCGAGACCAGCCTAGGCTACATAGTGAGTTCCAGGTCAGTCTCAACTACATAGTGAGATCATGTCTCAAAAAAAAAAAAAAAAAAAAACCAAAAAGTAAAATAATATGTACCAATAAATGTTTTGCTTAACAAAGTAAAATCAAATATAAAAACTCAAAAATTGACCCCCAAAATAAAAGACCCAATCAAAAAGAGTTAAAGTCATACTATTACAGCAATACATGCACACCCATGTTTATAGCAGCATAATTCACAATAGCTAAATCTTGGAAGCAGCCTATGTATGCACCCATCAACAGAAGAATGGATAAATAAAATGTGGTGTTTACCTACAATGGAGTACCACTCTGTCATAAAGAAGGATAAACACGTTATTTGTAGGGAGATGGGTGCACTTTGAGACTTCAACATTGTGAAATTAAATCAGACACTTAAATAGAAGATTAAATAGAGCATGATTTCTCTTATATGAGAAAATCAAAATATAAATAAGAGCAAATAAAAGATAATAGGAAAAGGAGGAAGAGTGGGAAGGGAGGATAGGAGAAAATGAACCTGGGAGGGAAAGGAAGAGAAAGTGGAATAAAAAATTAAGATGTATTATGTACATGTACCAAATCCTCATGGTGAATGTCAACACTATGTAATGCAAACATGCAGTAATTTAAAAGAACCAGCAGCTAATAAGTTCAGAGAACACAGACTTACATTCAAGGCAAGGACTAAACCACACTATTATGGCAAAAATGACAAAAGCTTATAAGATCTGTGAGTAGCATTACCTGTAGCTCCCAGTGGGTGCCCCTTGGCAAGCAATCCACCACTAGGATTTATGACCCACTTTCCTCCATAAGTATTATCTCCTCTATCAACCAGCATTCCACCTTGTCCTATAGAATGAAAAATAATATTCCCAAGTATTAAAAATAATATTGGAACAAATTGAGTATTTTTAATTTATCTATATAGACAAGAATTTCTCAGGATTTTTTTGGACACAGATGGAACCCAAGGTGCTCTACTGATGAACTACAGCCCTATTCATTCATCTACCCATCTATCCATCTATTCATCTATCTACCTATCTGTTATTTATTTCTGAGTCAGGGTCTCATTAAATTGCCAAGGCTGGGATCCAACTTGCAATCCTGCTGCCTGAGCCTAAGGGCTACGATTTCAGCCATGCATCACTACTTAAAGTAAACATTTCTTTTCTTTTCTTTTTTCCCAGTACTGGGGATTGAAATCAGGACCTTGTGCTTGTGAGGCAGGTGCAGTGCCACTGAGCTAAATCCCCAGCCCAAGAACAAATATTTCTTAACAGCTTAACAACAATTTAGCACAAGCATTTCTTTTTTTTGGGGGGGTACCAGGGATTGAATTTGGGTCCTTGTGCTTGCAAGGCAGGCCACCAAACTGCTGAGCTAAATCCCCGGCCCAGCCACAAGCATTTCTTAAAGTTAAAAAATATGTATTAGGTGGGCTGGGGATTTAGCTCAGTGGTTCCGCCGCCTGCCTCTCAAGTGCAAGGACCCAAGTTCAATCCCCAGTACCAAAAATAAATAAATTTTTAAAAATAAAAATAAATCGAGAACTTATAAATAATATAAAAACTAGTAGCAATCACACACCTATTTACACAAGCGGAAAAACAAACCAACTATTTGTATAAAAATATGTATTAGGCAAGAGGCTGATCTTTTCAGCTATATCTTATATTTTAAAAGCTTCTATTCAGGCCAGGGATTTAGCTCAGTGGTTCTGCCGCCTGCCTCGCAAGCACAAAGACCCAAGTTCAATCCCCGGTACCAAAAAAACAAACAATAAAAGCTTCTATTCATTCCTACAAGATTTCTAACTTACAAAATTGCTCCAAAAATACACTAAGATTCAAGAGCCAAAAGAAAGGACCTGAAATGGACACAAAATTATACAATATTGTAACTAAAATAATTATAGGAGATTTAAAATTCTTACTTTTCCCAGACATATTCACTTATCTCCATTGTCAACTGTACTGCTGTAGGGTATACAAATACTTGATTAACAGGGAAAAGCAAGAAAAAGGGGCACTTTCATAAAATTTAGGGAAATGGCTGAAAACGTGTTGAACTACAAAAGTGAAAGAAAAACATTACTTCATGTGCCTGGCAGTTAAGCATTCCACCAATATCCTGGTCACTGTTTCAGGTGGTGAAGAAGTAAATGAAAGTATATGCATTGTATAAAATATCTTTCTGGATGATACTTCTGATAAAGTAATAAATAGGCACCCAGTGCAATGATAATGGCGGTGGTAATGTCATACAGGAGTACTTATGTATATCAAGTTTCATTCTAATTGTTTTGCATGTTTATATAATTTAACCTCAAGCTATTATTCCAATTTTCCAGATGAGTAAACAGCCAAGGCAAGAATAAGAAACAAAAAACGAAGGGTGTCCTCTACTGGTAAAATCAAATGAACTTGTCACAGAATTTAGATAACCAACATTCCTAAATTGGCTTTAAATCTAGGTTGTAGATTTTAAAACATATACATATTGCTATGGCATTCTTACGTTTTGGTTTGTTTGCAACAGAACTTACTACACAGCCCCAATGGTCACGTGCATTCCACTTATTATTCATGCTTTCAAAACTGCTAAACATTGTTACTGCACCAAGTCAGAGCAGGCAAAATACAAACTAACACAATTGGAAATACTCACACCTGTAATACCAGCAGTCTAGGAGGCTGAAGCAGAAGGCTCATAAGTGTGAACCCAGCCTGGGCAACTCAGTGACTCAGTAAGACCCTAACTCAAAAATTAAAAATTTAAAAAAGGGCTGAGGATGCAACTTGGGGTTCAATCCACAGAACCACATAAAAAGCAAAGGAAAATACTCAGGCTGCTGGGTGTAGTGTTATATCCTTTCTAAAACTGAAGAGTACGTTGTGTTCCTAACTGGCACAATATAAATTATTTTTATACTCTGTTACTTGGTGTTCATGATTCCAAACTACGCGGTCTAAGAAAGTCCACTAAAACTGCTTACACACACTTCGCTCACTGGCAGAGCCAAGGAGGAGGGAAAGGCAATTCATTAATTTTTCCGTTTAATGATCAAAGTGAAGCTCTCAGTGAAATGTAACCAACGATCTGCCTGCCTCAAACATACTACCTTCCGGACAGAGTCCAAGAGCCTCATAAGTAAGGAGTTCATTTGAAGAAAAGCAGTCGTGAAGTTCTATTACATCAATGTCACTTGGTCCCAGGCCAGATTTCTCATAGCATCTTCTGGCAGCTTCTTTAGTCATATCGTAGCCAACCTGTAACCAAAACCATATATAAATACAGGGCACCAAAGTGGCCTTTAAGTAAAGTAGAATGAGATTAATATATGCAAAAATGTAACAATTTAAAAAACCAAACATATTGAAATCTCATTTAACTATTACACAGAAAGTCCAAATAAATTAATATCCAGGAGAGAGAATGTACCAATTAAACTGTGTACTATAAAGTACAGAAGTTTAAATAAGGTATTGACAGAACTATATGAAAGGATTCAAAATTTCTTAGATCATATTGTGTGCTAAGTTAAGAACACTCTGTCAAATCACAATGGATAATTGTGGTAAATTGAACATTTTGTTGACAAACACATCATTCTAAGTGAGATATACTAAAAACACGAAGGAACTTCTATATAAAAATACACAATTTTCTTTTAGAAAATCATACAGGATTCAAGCCATTTTTACAAAGTCCGTGCTCTTAAGTCTTCTTTGGTCTCATATAACAGAAGAACATGCAAACTTACATTTTCTTCAAGAAATAAAACTAGAATAACAGAGAATGTACAATAAACAGAAAACTTGAATACAAGGTTCATCTCTGCCAAAACCTAACTATGTGATCTTAGGTGAATTGTAAGGCCATTTTCAAATTCACAACACTGTAAGATCATTTTTTAAATTTTAATTTGCCATATAACCTACCTGTGGGGGAGAAGAGATTCTTTAAATTCAATTAATTCTAAGTCTCAATTCTCTTTTTAACTTTCTCCATTTTGCACAAAATCTTTAATCAGGATTTTACAATTACTAATAATTATTAACACATTAATTGTATAAATTAATGTGAAAGTTATATACATACATATGTTACGCCAGGATCATTTTCACTTTCCCTTCTGCCCAATCTTGCCCTCTGCTCCCTATCCCCTTACTCCCATTTCCTTTCTTTCTTGAAAGTCTTTTTTCTACTTTCAGGTCATCTTTTTCTTCTTTTTCACATATGAGAGGTAACATGATATTTGAATTTCTGTGTCTGGATTATTTCACTTAACATGATATCCTTCAGTTCCATTATTTTCCTGAAAATACAGTGATTTCATTCTTATTTATGACTCAATAATGCTGTGATAAATTTTTAATCCATTCATTTGTTAACAGGCATCTAGGCTGATTCCATATCTTAGCCATTGTAAATAATGCTGCAAATAGCATGGGTATGCAAGTGTTTTATCTCTCGCTTATGCTGATTTCATTTCCTTTGGATATATAACCAGAAGTGGATAGGTGGGTCACGTAGTATTGCTACTTTAAATTTTTTGAGTAATTTCCATCTCTTTTCCATAGCGGCTATACTAATTTATATCCCTACCAAGAGTGTACAAGGCTCTCCCTTTTTCTCTGGAGTTTCACCAGTATTAACAGCCACTGTGACTGAGGTGAAAGGGAATCTCGACATTACTGGGCATTGTACCTGATTTTTAATTTTTAAAATTTTATTAGTACATGTTTTCAATTCATGCAGTTTACAATCATCTTGTGGTGTGGCTACATGTACATATTACAGCCTGTTTTTCTTTTTCATCCCCTTCCCTCCCCTCCACTCCCCTCTCCAGTTCCCTTTTCCCCTTTTTCGAACTTGTTGATATTATTTGTCTTAGCTCACGCTATGGCACAGTTTACATAAATTGGGGTTACTAGGTTCCTGTACGCGGCACATCTCCATTCTTCTCAATTCCCTCCCCTCCCCTCCCCTCTCCCTTTGCCCTTGTTCCCTTGGACCACTTCCCTGTTGCAAGAGATCCATCCCTTTGTCTCTATCCATTTTTTTATTATTTTCTTTATTTGTACTTTGCCTCTCTGAAATGAGACACCATGCTGTATTTAAGCTTGTGTGACTGCTTTATTTCCCCCAGCATATTTTCCAGGTTCATCTATTTTCCTACAAATGTCTCAAATGTCATTTTTTATAGCAGAGTGGTATTCCATTATATATAAATACCACACTTTCTTCAGTCATCTGTTGATGTGTATACAGGTTGCTTCCAGGATTTAGCTACTACGAATTATGCTGCTATAAATACTGTTATGCATGTATCGCTGCAGTATGATGACTTAAGCACTTTGGGGAACTAGCAGAAGGATAGGTGGGTCATATGGAATTTCTAATTTCAGTTTTTTGAGAAATCGCCACATGATTTCCATAATGGTTGTACTAATTTGCATTCCTACAAGCAATGCAGGAGGGTGCTTTTTTCTCTCCAGCCACACCAGCATTTGTTACTGTTTGGTTTCCTAATGGATGCCATTCTTTCTGAAGATGCAATCTTAAGGTTTTAATATGCATTTCTCTAATGGCCAAGGATTTTTTAACATTTTTCATATATTTGTTGACCATTTGTATTTCTTCCAGCCCATTTCTTGATTGGATCTTTAATTTTAGGTGGTTTAGGGTTTTTTTTAAGTCCTTTCTATATTCTAGATATCGGTCCCTCTCACTAAGGAGTAGCTGCAAAAATTTTTCCTTCTGCAGGTTGTCTCTTCACTCTACTGATTGATTCTTTGCTGTACAGCTTTTAGTTCTATATAATCCCATTTGTTGATTCTTGCTGTGTTGAGGTTGAGGTTCTGTTTAGAAATTCTTTTCCTACACCTATGTCTTTGTTTTTCTTCTAGAAGGTTTAATGTTTCTGTCTTAATGTTTAGATCTTTGATCCAGTTTTATTTTAATTTAGTATATGGTGAGAGATAAGGGTCCAGTTTCATTCTTCTACAAAGAGATAACGAGTTTTCCCAGTACCACTTGTTGTATCGACTGTTTTTCCTCCAACGTATGTTTTTTGACTCTTTGTCAAAGATCACTTTGGTTCCTCTCCAAGCCACTGTCCTCCAGACTCTAGACACTTTGTCCTGGATAAGCTGAGGTGCTAGCACTCACTGCTCCACCATCTTATTTATCCACGCCCCCAACTGTACTTGTTTTGAGAAGTGTTTGTTCACATCATTTGCCCATTTGATTGGATTGCTTGTTCTTTTGCTAAATTTTCTAGTTCTTTATATATTCTGGATATTAATCCTTTGGCAAACATTATCTCTCATTCTGTACATTGTCTCTTCACTCTTCTGATTGTTTCCTTTGTTGTTGAGAAGCTTTTTAATTTGTCATAATCAGATTTGTTGATTATTGCTTTTATTTCCTGAGCTACTAAAATCCTACATAGTACATCACACAGCAATGTACAGCACAGGTAATGTTTCCCATTTTTGTTTTTGTTTTTTCTAATAGTTTCCAATTTTCAGGTCCTACATTAAGGCCTGTGATCCATTTTTAGTTGATTTTGTATAGGGGGAGATATAGGGCTCTACTTAGGTATACGGTTGTTTCTATCATTTTGTTAATCTCATTCTGGTTGTCTTGAAATGGGGGGCACAGGGGATCAAACTCGGGACCTTGTGCTTGCAAGGCAGGCGGCAGCACCACTGAGCTAAATCCATGGCTGTTTTGAATATTCTATGTTCATTTCTTCCTGTAGTCACCCTAAACCAACATATTGATAGTTTACTGCATTGATAATGTTTTTCCTATTTCTCATTTGCATGCCTATTCCCCAATGAGATTTATTCTTTCCCATGCTCCTGTGATTATAATGGGAGGGTACTGGGGATCGAACTTGGGTCCTAGGCAGGCGGCATGATTATAATGATTTTTCTTCCTTTTCTAAGTACAGAATTCACTCAAGTTTCTTCTGTAATGATTATGTAGTGATCATGAATTCCTTCAGTTTATGCTTATCTTCAAGGATCTTTATTTCTCCTTCTATTCCTTTGCCAGCTATAATGCTTGGTAGATTCTTTCAAGACCTAAAATACATCCTCTCATGTCCTGCTGGCATTTAGAGTTTCTGCTGAATAACCTGCTGTTATTCTGATGTGTTTGCTGTTGAATATGACTTGGCTCTTCTCTTAGTTTTATTTGTAGCACTTTTGTGATACATGATGAATACACTCATCTTGGGGAGCTGGCACATATGCATATCTCATCTTAGTCCTTTTTTTCCCTTTCCCCTTCATCTCTACATCCCCTTCCCATTTGCAAAAGGTCTATTTTCCTATTTCCTATTATCTACCTTTTATTTTGCTCTTTAAGCATTATAGACTCAATGTTCATCCATTTTCCTATAAATGACTCAAATTTACCATTTTTATGGCTGAGTGATATTTTATTTTGTAAATATACCACACTTTCTTTATCCTTTTCATCTGTTGATAGATATATAAGCTGCTTCCAAGATTTAGCTATTATGACTTGGGTATGTATATATTACTGTAATATGGTATATTTAACTCTTTGGAAAGATACCTCCAGGGGAAATAGCTAGATTAGATGCAATTTTAGTTTTTTGCAAAATCTATATACTGATTTCCATAGTGGCTGTACTACTTTACACCAACATCATAGAAGGGTTTTTCACTGTAACTCCACTGGGTTTTTTGTTTGTTTTGGTTTTTGTTTTAGTACTTTATGATAGCCATTCTTTCTGGAGTAAGATGGAATCCCAGTGTTGTATTTCTCTAATGTTCAGAGATAGTGAACATTTTTCATGTATTTATTGATCATTTGTATGTCTCCTTCTTAGAAGTGTCTGTTCATTTCAGCTACCTATTTTTTGATTGGGTCTTTTATGGTGGTGTGTCTAGGTTTTTTGAGGTCTTTATGTATTCTAGATATTGTACTCTGTCCAAGGAGTAGCTGGCAAAAATTTTTTCCCATTCTACAGGTTGTCTCTTCACTTTTGGTTATTTATTTCACTATGCTGGAACTTTTCAATTTGATATAATACCATTAGAGTCTTTGTTATTTCTTCTACAACTGGGGTTCTGTTTAGAAATTCTTTTTTTATACCTATGCTTTCAAGAGTTTTATTTATTCTTCCAGCAGATTGCACCTCTACTTAATATCCCAAGAGTCTATTTATTCTTCCAGCAGATTCCATTTCTATTTAATATCCCAAGATTGTTTTTGCTATTCTGGG